ACGTCACCTTTTTTTTTTTTTTTTAACTTCCTCTCCGTTGCTTCTCCCTCTTAATTAAAAGCTTAAATCTCTCTGAATCTAATTAAGAGAGACAGAGACAGAGACGGAGAGAGCGACCGAGCGCAAAGAAGAGAAAAAGAGAGAGAACTGATCATGAGTTCTTCAAATAATCAAGACACCGCGATCGAAGAGCTGGTCAAAGGGCGGGAACTTGCCGGTCAACTCGGAGCTCTTTTGGAACAAAACCATGACCTGGGCTCAATCGTCGAAGAAATCTTGGGTGTATTTTCTAGAGCACTCATGTTCATGGATTCCGCGGCGGAGATTAACGGTCGAAGGAGGAAGATCCGGTCGACGATGACCGGAGGATGTCAGAGGAGGTAGTGTTTTTTTTTTATTTTTTGTTGCTTATTATTTGATAAAAAAAACTTTCTAAATCCACAAAGACATTCTTCGATTGACTTGGCTTTGTTTTGTTTTTTTTTTAATTTAATTTAATTTACAGACCTCGCTCTCGTTCGCACACGATGATCAAGGTGAAGTCGCTTGATGATGGCTATTCTTGGCGGAAGTACGGGCAAAAAGGAATACATAGATCTAAATTCCCAAGGTATGAAAGGAAAAATAAATTATATACATAAATAAATAGGAAGGTCTATTTTTTTAGTGGATAATTGAGACTTGTCTTGAATAAAAGTTTGAAGTATGTACCGCAAACTCATGTGGTTAAAGTATACGTTTAGATTTGAATCTTGAATCTTTCCGCTAATAAAAATTGGATTTGGATCTTTTTCGTCACTGAAAAAGTAGTGGAGGATCCACTATTTAGCTATAATTATTGATTTTCTAGTTGGTGGTTGCGATTTTTTCTTTAAGTACGAATTAGGAATGATGATATGGTAAATGTTAGATTTAGAACGTATCACAACCGCTCATTACATAATTCTCGAGTGACGGCTGCTTGTAATTCATTCATGTCCCCTCATGCATGAATATCACTCGTTTCTTTTAATAAATCCCAACCGTAGATTAAATAATCAACCGTTAGAATTAAATTTAACGGTCCCTCCACTACTTTCGCGGCTAAATTAAAAGAGAGGGTTGTGATTGAAAAATTGTACTGATCTCAAATGTTTAAAATTTTTCAGGTGCTACTTCAGGTGCACCCACAAACATGATCAAGGATGCAAAGCAACAAGACAAGTGCAGCAATCCGAGGAAGATCCGTCCTTGTTCATAATCACGTACTTCGGGGAGCACACTTGCAAACACCCGATAGATTTTGCATCGACACGCGTTGAGGAAGAGAATCCTTGCATAATAAGCTTCGCTTCAGACGCGAAGTTTGATGCCAACCTTAAACAACCTAAGATCCCACCGTTGAGCCCAGAGCACAGCGGAGAAGGACACGTCAGCAATATTCCAACGATGGAAGGATCAGGCGGTCACGGTGATGTACGGTCATGCGTCGATAACTGGTGGTGGGATTTCATGGAAGAGGCCTTTGATTTTGATGGGCTGTTGAGCTTCTGATGAGCCTTGTGTTGTGTTGGCGGGCTTTTGGCGTGTTCATGAGGTTGGGCTTGCTTGTTGGAGGGTTTTGAATAATCCTATGTGTTTTTATCCCTTTGTGAAATATATTCACCCTAATCTACGGAGAAAAGAGGTGGTGGACTTGTTATCTATTTCAAATATTGACGTGCTTGTTTTAGTGAAAAATACCCCTTTCAGTGGTCTCCTATCCTAATTCTAGCGGTTCCCTAAGGGGCTGTTTGGATTGATTTTTTAGATAGGTAAAAGGGTGGAAAGCTGTTAAAAATGTCAGTTTTTTGGCAGCTTTCCCCCAAAATCACCTTTTATAGAGGTGATTTTGGGGGAAAGCTGCCAAAAAGCTGTTTATAGAGGTGATTTTGGGGGAAAGCTGTCAAAAAGCTGATATTTTTGGCAGCTTTCCCCTCTTTTACCTATCTAAAAAATCAATCCAAACAGCCCCTAAGCAGCAAATACGAGTAAAAATAATAAAAAGATACATAAAGTAGAAAATCCAGTGGTGCCCTTTGACGACACTTGAGACTACGGCGGAGCGACTACGTGGCTCCGCCGTAGGTAATATTATCTAACGTCTAGTTTCCCGATTGCCATTTGAGATGTGGATGTTCACCCCTTTAGCATGCTTGTCGCTAATTAGAAATAGCATGCCCCTTTGTAAAGATTTCACTTTACTTGGAATTGACTCACATTTGGAAGTTTATCCTACAATAAATTGACATGTTGCCATTCAATTGTTTTCGGAAAAAGTTGCCTTCATCATTGATTTCATTAAACTTCAATCGTTACAAATGAATTCAAATAACAAAGAATAAAAATTACAACTTTTCGAAAATAAACACAAGATCCTGTTTTGCGGTCTCTTGCTTGCGTGGGTCTTTGGCCTGTGACGGGGATGTTGATATCCGTGGACCACCGGGCAATCAGATCTGCTCCGAGAAAATCGGACAGAGCTTCGTCGATCCGCGTGAGATCTAGAAGCCTGAAGCGTCTATCTCGGCTAAAGCGAGATATCAGCTCTTCTTAGTATTAACGCCAAGGGCTAATACTAAGGAAAAGAGGGAACGGGTGATGAAGGCTCTGATGTAGACCTCTCCTCTCCTTGTTAAAGCACACGAGCACTCTTCACTGCAGCAGGGCTTCGCCAAGGGTCTCCAAAAATCCTCCTCCAAAACAAAGGCCAGGGGGGTATTTATAGGTGTTTGAGAGGCTCTAGGGGGCCTAGACACCCCCTGGTGTCTCGGCCAGGCCGAGACACCCTAGGGTGTCTCGGCTTGGCCGCACCCCTGGGGTGTCTAGGCTTTTCCTAGACACCCCCGGGGTGTTTCGACTTGCCGGGACTCCGTTTTGAGGTGTATGATTGTTTTCCCTGTAGATTCTTCGTCCGACCTTGGATTTGAGTGATTCCAGGTGCGTTGGATGCTTGACGAAGAGTTCGATCCGCTCTGATGGTTGGATTATCTGTAGAGTGGTCGAGGCACGAAGGGCGGTGTCCTTTTTGTGAACACCGCCGGGTTCCCGATTGATCCGGGTCTTGGTTGTTCCAAAATCCTATAAGCTCACGTAGCTCGTCGATTCACTTCAGTCGTTCATCGACGTTCTTTAACATTGAACCGTTTGTGGAGACCTATAAGTTCTTCCGGCACTGCGTTTATCGCTTGGCCGTCGTCGGAGTCTTGAGTTTGCAGCTGATGAGTTGAGTTTGGCTCGTGTCATTGAGTTGACTTTGAACTACCTCCGTCACATTGTGCTGGCTTAGGGTTTCGGACCACTGTGTGTCGACTTTTGGTTGCAACGCGTTGACTGGCGTTGACCTAGGGTTACGCGTTGACCGGCGTTGACCCTTAGGGTTTTGAACCGTCGAACGTTGACTTTGGTTGCAACGCGTTGACTGGCGTTGACCTAGGGTTATGCGTTGACCGGCGTTGACCCTTAAGGTTTTGAACCGTCGAACGTTGACTTTGGTTGCAACTCGTTGACTGGCGTTGACCTAGGGTTACGCGTTGACCGGCGTTGACCCTTAAGGTTTTGAACCGTCGAACGTTGACTTTGGTTGCAACTCGTTGACTGGCGTTGACCTAGGGTTACGCGTTGACCGGTGTTGACCCTTAGGGTTTTGAACCGTCGAACGTTGACTTTGGTTGCAACGCGTTGACTGGCGTTGACCTAGGGTTACGCGTTGACCGGCGTTGACCTAGGGTTTTACGGATCGTCAAACGTTGACTTTGATCGTAACGCGTTGACTGGCGTTGACCTAGGGTTTCGCGTTGGCCGGCGTTGACCCTTAGGGTTTTGAACCGTCGAACGTTGACTTTGGTTGCAACGCGTTGACTGGCGTTGACCTAGGGTTACGCGTTGACCGGCGTTGACCCTTAGGGTTTCGAGCATCGAATGTTAATTGGTGTCGATTTTCATCAAGACATCCAATAATCGACGTAAACGGGCGAATTCGGGCTCAACATAGGCGTACGGGGACAAAACGGGACCCGAAACACC